GGTGGTCGTGCGCGTGGTGGTGCACCGGGTGGTGGTTCTGGAGGCGGGCCCTGTCAGTACCAGATCCAGACCGGTCCTCGCCGCGGCTTCGTTTGCGGTAAGATCGGTCATTCCACTCCTCGCTGTTTTCGTCGTCTGGACGACCTGTTCCGCCAGCGCTTTGGCCCGGCGCCCGACCTCCCGGACTGGCACAGCTTGCTTAGGCGTAGCATTCGGATTTTTGACTTGGACATGGATGCCATTGTAGCAGCCTTGCATGTGATGTATGCCGATGACTCTAGTGTGCTTCCCTCTTATTACCCCGTGTTGCCTAGTGTAGCTGTGCCTAGCGTAGACTCCCCTGCTGCGTCAGGCGTAGGATCTCCTGCTTTGCTTAGCCTCGGTGCTTCCACCGCTTCACTGTTGCCTCGCGCGACTGCTGCGCTTTCCTTCACCTTGGACTCTGGCGCCTCCCGGTGTTTCTTCCGCGACTCCACGACGCTGACGCCGCTGCCTGTTCCTGCTGCAGTTACTCTTGCTGACCCCTCCGGTGGTCCCGTCTTTGCCCGCAGTTCCACCTCCCTTCCCTGTCCGGCGGTTCCTTCAGGTTCGCTCACCGGTCTGCATATCCCCTCGTTCTCCAGGAACCTAGTTGGTGTCGGCTGCCTCCAGGACCTTGGCGTCACCACTACGTTCCCTGGTCACGAGCGGTATGCTGTCTGTACCGAGGCCGCCACTGGTGCCCCCCTTACCACTTTCCCCCGGGACCCGGTGTCCGGCCTGTTCACACTTGACACCGCGACGTCCCCGGCTGGGTCTTCCCCCCAGGTAGCTGCGTCCACCCAGGTTGCTGCTGCGTGCTCCTGTCGGTCCCTCACTCATCCGACTCTCCTTTGGCACCACCGCCTTGGTCACCCTGCACTCCCGCGTCTGCGTCACATGTCCCAGCACGGTCTCGTCCTTGGTCTCCCCGGTTCGTTCCCTGAGTTTCCCTCATCCCCCGCCCCACCGTGCACGCCTTGTGTCGAGGGCCGGCTCCGCCGTGCCCCTCACTCCTCCTCTTTTCCCCCTACCACCGCACCCCTGCAGACTCTGCACATGGACGTCTGGGGCCCAGCCCCGGTCCATGGGCCGCGTCGCGAGCGCTTCTTCCTAGTGCTTGTCGACGACTTCACACGTTACACCACCGTCTTTCCCCTGGAGCGGAAGACCGGCGTGCCTGACGTTCTCATCCCCTGGCTTGTCTCTGCTCGTCTCCACCGCGGTCTCCCTGCCTTGCGCCTCCACTCCGACCGGGGTGGCGAGTTCGCCTCAGGTGTCCTTGGTCGCTTCTGTCGTGCGGAGGGCATCACCCAGACGTTTACCCTGCCGGACTCCCCGCAGCAGAATGGGGTCGCTGAGCGACGCATCGGTTTGGTCATGGAGGTGGCTCGCACCTCCATGATCCACGCCGGTGCACCCCATTTTCTGTGGCCGTTCGCCGTGCGCTACGCCGCTCACCAGCTTAACCTGTGGCCGCACCCCCAGCGGCCGCAGGTTTCGCCGACCCTTCTGTGGACCGGGTCCCCTGGTGACGCGTCTGCGTTCCACGTCTGGGGCTGCCTTGCTCACGTTCGTGCCTCTGGCACGGACAAGCTCACTGCCCGCACCCTCCCCTGCGTCTTCCTCGGTTTCCCCCTTGACGCGTCCGACTGGCACTTCTACCACCCGCCGTCTCACCGTTTCTTTCACTCTCGCGACGTCACCTTTGACGAGTCCGTCTCCTTCTTCCGCCGCTTTCCCCACCGTGGTCCCCCGGTTACTCCCCCCCTGTTCCTGGTTCCTCCCTCCCTGGTGGCCCCTGCCCCTCCCCCCCCCCGCCCCCCCGTCCGGCCCCCTCTGGTGTGTCTCACGTCACCCCCCTCCCGTCGGTCGTTCCGGTCGACGAGTCTTCTGACTCTGGTAGTCCTTTGGCGGAGTCCTCGCCGTCTGTCCCTCCCCCGGTGTCTCCTCCTCCACCGCCTCCGCAGCCGCCGTCGCCGCAGCTGCTGCAGCCGTCGTCTCCGCCGCCGCCGCCGTCGAGGCCGTCGCTGCAGCCGCCGCCGCCGCCGCCGCCGTCGTCGCTGCCGCTGTTTGTGGACTCTGGGGGTGCTGGAGTTGAGGTGGGTACTCGTCCCGGGGCTCCTGTCGTGGCTTGTCCCCGCGGGCCTGGGGGTGGTACCGGTGCTGGCGGTGTTTCGGGCTCTGGGGGTGTCCCTTCTGGGGGTGCCGGTGTGGAGGGTTCGGGAGGTAGCCGTCGCGCAGCTTGTGGCCCTGGCGTTGGTGTTGTGTCGCCGCAGCAGCAGTCCCCGCCGGTGTCCGCCCTCCGTCTGCTCGGCCTTCCGTCCCCTGACCCTGCGCCTGTTCCTCTCCGGCCGTCTCCCCCTCTTCCCGTCTACGGCCCCGTGTTCCCTCCGCCAGACTCGTCCCCGGCTCGTTTTCCCCCTCGTTCCCCACCCGTGTCCCCTCCTCTGTCTCCCGACCCGACGCCGCCCTCTCACGTCTGGTCTCGCCGCCCCTCCCGTGCTCGTCCTGTATCCCCCGTCCCGCGCACTCACCCTATGTTGCTCCGCTCCCACGCGTCTCGTCCTCCCCTCCTCCCGTCTCCTCCTCCGTCCTCTCTTGTCGTTGCGTCTCCTCCTCTGTCTGACTACTTTCGTGCCGCTCGTCCTCTTGTTCCTCGGGTCCTTGCCTCTCTCGTTACCGACCCGTCTGTTCCAGTGTCGAGTCTTGACGCCCTTGTCGCTGCGGTCGCTGACTTCGCCTCTACCCGTCGCCTTGACTACGCCTCCGCTCTGGTCTCTGACCCTGCCTGTCCTCCGTCTGTCGGGGGTGCTCCTGCCCTCGGCAGTGACGTCCTGGAGGACCGCCAGTTTAACTTGCTTTCCTGTCCGAGGCTGCTCCCCATCTCTGTTCCATGCTGCTAGTTCCTGAGGGTGACCCAGACGCTTTTGACATCCCGACCCCTCGTACTTACGCTGAGGCGGTTTCGGGACCTTGGGCCTCTCAGTGGATAGCTGCCATGGAGCAGGAGATGGCATCTTGGAGATCCACCGGCACCTTCGTCGACGCAGTTCCCCCACCTGGGGTGAACGTGGTCGATGGCCGTTGGCTCTTCAAGGTGAAGCGCCCTCCTGGAGAGCCGCCTGTGTTCAAGGCGCGTTACGTGGCTAGAGGCTTCAGTCAGCGCGAGGGGGTGGACTTCTTTCAGACTTTCGCTCCTACCCCGAAGATGACTACTCTTCGGGTTCTGCTACACGTAGCGGCTCAGCGTGACTACGAGCTTCACTCCCTCGACTTCTCCACTGCCTTTCTTCAGGGCAGCCTTCACGAGCAGGTCTACCTGCGTCGTCCTCAGGGCTTTACTGACACCTTCCCCCCTGGGACCCAGTGGCTTCTGCGGCGCCCAGTCTACGGCCTGCGCCAGGCGCCTCATGAGTGGCACGACACGCTGCGTGCTACTCTTGCTGACCTGCAGTTCTTTCCGTCCTCTGCAGACCCCTCGCTCTTCGTTCGTGCTGGCTCGACTCCGTTCTACATCCTCGTCTACGTAGACGACCTGGTCTTTGCCACAGCTGACAGGGACGCACTGGCCTCCGTGAAGGCAGAGCTGCTGAAGAGACACACCTGCACTGACCTTGGAGAGCTGCGCCGTTACCTTGGCTTGCAGATCTCCAGGGACAGAGCCGCCCGCACCATCACCCTGACTCAGTCACACTTGGTGCGCCAGGTCCTTCAGAGGTTCGGCCTTCAGTTCTCCTCCGCATAGCCCACCCCTCTTCCTCTGGACCACAGACTCTCCGCTCCAGTTCCTGAGGAGTCGGTAGATCCCAGTGGTCCTTACGCTGAGCTAGTGGGTTGCCTCATGTACCTGATGACTTGCACTCGCCCAGATCTCGCATACCCTCTCAGCATCCTGGCTCGTTTTGTGGCCACAGGCAGACACCGACCTCAGCACTGGTCTGCCGCTAAGAGGGTTTTGCGTTATCTTGCAAGTACATCGGGCATGGGGTTAGTGCTAGGCGGACGCAGGCCAGTGGTCCTTACTGGACACACAGACGCTTCTTGGGCAGACGACGCGGAGACGCTCAGGTCTTCCCAGGGCTACTGCTTTAGCCTTGGCTCAGGTGCTGTCTCGTGGAGAGCTACCCGCTCCTCGTCGGTTGCCCAGTCCAGCTGTGAGGCTGAGATCTACGCCGGTGCCATGGCGGCACAGGAGCTCCGCTGGCTGACCTTCTTGCTCACTGACTTAGGTGAGCGGCCTAGCTCTGCCCCGGTCCTGTACGCTGACAATAGGGCCATGATTCTCCTGTGTCAGGAGCCTCGACTCGAGGGCAGAGCGAAGCACATCCAGCTGCGGTACTTCCTCCTGCGCGAGCTACAGCAGCGGCGCCAGGCTCGCGTAGTACACTTGGCCTCCGGTGCCAACACAGCTGATATCTTTACGAAGGCGCTTGCGCCTAAAGATCATCAGCGGCACTGTTTACAGCTTGGTCTGGTTCCTGTAGTCTCTCACTTACTCGGGCCTTGACTTTGTACGGTCGTATATATATTTATGTATACACTCAGACTGGACTTGTGTCCTCTCACAGTGGTTGGACTAGTAGTGCCGCCCTGTACTCGTTCTTGCCTTGTCTGTACTCCTTCTGACTGGTCTTTTAGACCCTTGTCTCAGAGGCTGGACTAGTAGTGCCACCCTGAGCTACTTGTCTAGAACATTCCCCTATGCAGTCCAGGGGGTGTGTCAAACATGTGTAGTTATCATATTTGTATAGACTGTATAGGGTCACCTTCTAGAGAGTACAACATTTAGGTATATGTTTGTGTACTCTCTCTCTCACATTATTCAATTCTAGGTTTGATAAAGTGTTCATAAACTTACAACCCAGAAGGGGCTATGGTTAAGAAAAGTCCAACCCTGAAAATTAAGGGTTGGCAAAAAAAAAAACCCTGTGAAATCACAGAATCAGGGTAAAATACCCTGATAATGGCAGGCCTGTCCACCTCTGAAAAAAGGCCAGCCAATCAGCATTACCCTATCCCAAAACCCTGAAAAAAGGCTGAATCAGCGTAAAAAGTCTGATATCTAGGGGCCTGCTCACAGGGTATTTCGGTGGGGTGACCCTGATTTCAAAGGGCGGCCCAAAACCAATTTTGGGCCCTGATGATGGCCAAAGTGCAGTAAAAATTGTGGTTGGGTGCAAAGCTGTACGGTGCATCTTCCGCTCGTCACATTCGTCAGCAAGGCACCTCTCCATGCAGTTCCTGTGCTCTAGCTCGTCTCATCTCTAGGTTATTCTTCTCAGAAACACAGCCGCTAACCACTGTCCTAAAAGGGCTTGTTAAGTAGCGGGTCAGCGGCGCGCCCATAGCCCACCAGGCATAGCAGCCTGTGGCCCTTCCGAGGATCTTCTAGGGCGACCCCAGCGGGTCTCTTGACAATTCCTTACCAGCCGATGCAGTACGGCATGGCCTGGCTGTGGTTGTGGGGAGAGCCATGCTGTGAAGATGTGGGGTTGGTGGATAGTGCTGCTGGCAGGTTGGCTCGTGCTGCCAAAGGGTGCCCCTCACTGTCAGGGAAGCACGGTGCTTTGCGTCTACTCACTCACGTTGAGGCCGACGGAAGCTCAAGCAGGTGGAGGGGCGGTGCTGCAAGCATGTGGTGGTGCTGCAGAGGTGACTGAGTGGGAGGCCATTTGCTCCTACACGAGTGCTTGGCATGAGCCTCTTGGCAGGTCGCTCAGCCCTGCTTGGTTGCACTTCCTCAGAGGCAAGGTAACAGGAGCAACTTTGTGGACAGGGAAAAACACTATATTGAAGGAAGCATGGCCCTTCAAAGCAACAAAGTCTGTCCCGTGAGATGCTCTAAGCGAACAGCATGCATGCAAGCAGAGTCAGCAGCAAGGTATGCGCCCAACCTGCAGAGCAGGCGGGAAGCGAGAGCAGGGAGCGGACACAGATGGAAAGGGTGGTGAGAGGGGCACAACCGACGCTACAATGTGCTGGTGATGGCGGGAGGTGCGAGGGGGGAGGTGAGCGGGGGGAGGTGAGAGGTGATGGCATCATGGCCCAACCACCCATGTGCCTACCATGAGAGTATTGCCTTTGCCTACCATGAGAGGATTGCCTTTGCCTACCATGAGAGGATTGCCTTTGCCTACCATGAGAGGATTGCCTTTGCCTACCATGAGAGGATTGCCTTTGCCTACCATGAGAGGATTGCCTTTGCCTACCATGAGAGGATTGCCTTTGCCTACCATGAGAGGATTGCCTTTGCCTACCATGAGAGGATTGCCTTTGCCTACCATGAGAGGATTGCCTTTGCCTACCATGAGAGGATTGCCTTTGCCTACCATGAGAGGATTGCCTTTGCCTACCATGAGAGGATTGCCTTTGCCTACCATGAGAGGATTGCCTTTGCCTACCATGAGAGTATTGCCTTTGCGTGGCTTTGCCGTGCAGAGGAGGAGCGTGGTCCTTGTTGTAGCGCAGAATGTCGTCCGACACCACCCCCATGGCGCCCAGGTACGCGCGCGTCAACGACTCCACTCGCAGCAGACCCTTGGCACTGCACGGGACAACGAGGCACACAAGACACGTGAGACACACGAGACACATGAGGCGCACGCGTTGTGATGACCAGACGAGGCAAACTGGTAGAGAGACACGGCAAGGGTCAACAACTCCCCTCACACCAGACCCTTGGCAGTGCTTCCCGAGACAGCAAGGAAACACGCCATGGGATGGTGAAGCAAAGAAAGCAGCGATGATTGCTCAGATGGCACACACCACGGACGCCTTCAGAAGATGAAGGAACGCCGAATAAACAAGTGCGGTGTTCTGGCACCCTCCAGAGAGGATGTCGTCGAAGGGGTTGCTGCCCTCGTACCAGGCATGCTTTGAAGCGCCTTAAAGGAAATAGATGGAGTGCAGTGAAGAAACATGTGGAGAGCAGTGAAGAAACATGTGGAGAGCAGTGAAGAAACACGTGGAGAGCAGTGAAGAAACACGTGGAGAGCAGTGAAGAAACATGTGGAGAGCAGTGAAGAAACATGTGGAGAGCAGTGAAGAAACATGTGGAGAGCAGTGAAGAAACATGTGGAGTGCAGTGAAGAAACATGTGTTGTGCTGCCGTTCTGTCCAAAATATGGTCCAAGGGGTTGTTGCCCTCGACTACGCGTTGACTGGGCCGGCTAGCACTTGAAGCAATAAAAGCAAAGAGGTGGAGTGAGGAAGCAATAAAAGCAAAGAGGTGGAGTGAGGAAGCAATAAAAGCAAAGAGGTGGAGTGAGGAAGCAATAAAAGCAAAGAGGTGGAGTGAGGAAGCAATAAAAGCAAAGAGGTGGAGTGAGGAAGCAATAAAAGCAAAGAGGTGGAGTGAGGAAGCAATAAAAGCAAAGAGGTGGAGTGAGGAAGCAATAAAAGCAAAGAGGTGGAGTGAGGAAGCAATAAAAGCAAAGAGGTGGAGTGAGGAAGCAATAAAAGCAAAGAGGTGGAGTGAGGAAGGTGATGGCGTGCAGAGTCACCTTCCAGAGAGGACATAGTCGAAGGGGTTGCTGCCCTCGTACAGCGCCTCCCGCCACGCCTTCACCGTGCCGGCGAGCTCCAGGCGTGCGATGATGGCGCGCTTGAAGCGCTCCGAGATGGCGTTGCGCGTCATCACCACGTTGGCGGGCACCCGACCCAGACTGAGGCGCGGGGAGGGAGGGAGGGCCACTGTGAGCGGTCAGAGTTGGTTCTTGAGAATTCTAATAAACCAGACCAAGTCATCACCACTTTAACAGGCACCCGACCCAGACTGAAGCGCCAGGAGGGAGGGAGGGGCAACTGTGAGCAATCAGCAGGCATTGAGAAGTGCGTGTGCGATGATGGCCCGCTTGAACCGCTCTGAGAAACGAGAATGAGAGAATAACAAGAAACAGGTGCATCCATGAGGAGGATCTGAGAAGCAACGAAGTTAAAGACGTGAAGAGGTCTCACTACAAAGCAAAACCTGTTAGACCTGTGGCAGAGCACACTTCCAGCACACATATTGCAGCCACGTGCAGGCGGTGGAGCATGCCCTCACGCGCAATTGGCATCTCAAGTTGGCCGTCAACTCCATGCATCCCAGCCGCAGGAGGGCGCAGAAGTCTCAACGCTAACAAGGGCGCAGCACGTGCGGCTCCTGGCTTTCAGGGGTCCTCAACAGGTGCCACTGCCTGCGTGCTATACTCACGTGCAGTTAGTGGCGTCAAGGTTGTCAGTGAACTCCATGCACCCGCCCACCATGGGCGGGCACAGCAGCCTGAACTCCCCCAGCGCCTGCAGCGACCACGGCTGCTGGAACCTGCCTCCGCGCGTAAACCACGGCGCCACATCATGCCTGAGAAACGCCACGTCGCCCGCCTGCTCCATCAGGCACCGGAAGGCACCGTGGAAGCCCGCATACGAGTCCTCCTCGTCGCATGACCCTCTCCCGTTCACCGACACGCACCCGCTGCACACCCTCCCCGTGTCCCCACGTCCTAGGCTCCCCTCCCCTCCTCTCCCTCCTGCCTCCCCTGCACCAGCCGTAGTGCTTACCCCCAGTGCGCCCTCCCCTCCGGGGGCGCATGACTCAGGGAAGACGGCCTTCACTAGAGTCACATCCGCCGGCTCTCCCTCCACGAACGGGGGCGCCGCAAAACCGCCTCCTGACCCCACCCCTCCCCCCACTCCCCCTCCCAGCAAACCCGCTCCCATGCCCACTCCCTCCCCTCCACTTCCCCCCATTCCCTTTCCTGCTCCGCCCTTCGCTCCAGATCCCCCCTTCGCCCCACTCCCCCCTCCCCCCAGCCCTCGTGCGAGCCCCAGGTCCAGCAGGGCGCGCACAGGGAGGTCCCAGCCGGCAGCGGAGGCGTAGAGCGGGTGGCACGTCTTGAAGCGGTGCAGCGTGGCCCAGGGGCCGCGCGGGAGGGCGGGGAGCGATGGCGTGGGAGAGTGCGCCGTGGCGGTGGCGGTGGCGGTGGCGGTGCTGCTGTTATCCCTGCGTTGCTGGTTGTTCTTGCCGGTGCCCTGCGCTGTGCCTTGGGCGTTAGGTGCTTCACTGCCGTCTCTGCCGCTAGCAGTGCTGCTGCTGTTGCTGCTGCTGTTGCTGCTGCTGCTGCTGCTGCTGCTGCTGTTGCTTCTACCCAAACTGCCTCCCTCATCCACCCCACCCTCTCTCCCATCCCCACTTCCTCCCGCATTTCCCACTCCCACACCCTCACTCCCACCCATCCCTGCACTCTCCTCCTCGCCCCTCCCCCCGGCACTGACGTCACACACGTCCCTGCGCACCACGGCAACAGCATGGTAGGTCTCCCCCCAGGCCAGCCGCTCGCTCATGATGGCCTTCATGCGCCCGTGCAGGAACGCCCGGAAGGCCAGCCCTGCGTCGAGAGACACCAGCTCCGCTTGACTGCCCACTATGGCGCCCATGCACTCCTGCTTGCTCCGCCGCTGCACACTGGAGAGTGTGGGGGAAGGGAGGGCGGGAAAGAGGGTGGGTTGCGGGTGGGATGCGGATCGGGGGAGGAATTGATGGCAGGTGGAGGGAAAGAGGGAATGCGAATGGCTGATGAAGATGCCCTCCAACTGGCCTACATTGCCTTCCCCATCCTCCCCCCCAACTTCCCCCATCTTCACTCAGCTCACCACGACCACCGCTGGTTGTCAATGGACAGTGCCGGCACCACCTGGCCACAGAAGGCGCATTCCCCTCGCCCCACGCAACACCACCGCACCTCCTCCCTCCCTCCCCCATGCTCCCGCTGCTGCCCCCCAGAATCTCCCGAGAAACCGGAGTGGGGGGGTTGAACGGGAGAGCTGGAGGGGGCATCATGGGAGGCATGGGCGCCCTGAGGATGAGGCGGCTTCGACTCATCTCCGCTTGCAGCGATAGGACGCATTGCCTGGGAGCCGCCTGGAGGACTGCGGTGGGGGGGACCAGCAGCAGCCCCTGCAGACGAGTTCGCAGAGGCTGCAGGGGTTCTAGGCCCAAGCCCACTGGAGGGAATGGGCAGGTTTTGGGCAGCGGATCCAGGAAGAGGGCTTTCCGTGGGATCTGGAGTCGAGCCAGAGGGACCGTTTTGAGCGTTACCATCCCCGCGTGCTGCTTCGCTTGTACTGTTGCTGCTTTGGCCGGGAGATCTTCCCTCTAACGAGTCAGAAGTCCCAGGGTGGGCTGTCCTGTCCTCTGTAGGCGCTGCTTCGGTTTCGTTACTAGAGCTGCTGCTTTCAGTCACGGCGGCAGGGGGAGGAGTTGAGGCTTGTGACGCGGAGGTGACCTGGGGCGGAGGTGGGATGTGTGACGCGGGCTCCAGGGCAGCGGGAATGAGCGCGTCCCGCGAGGGAGGGGGAGAAGAAGAATCGGTAACGGACGAATTCGTATCAGAGGAAGCTGAGCTGCTAGTGCTACCAGCACCCCCTGAATCACCTACACTGGCCGTTGATGTGACTGCAGCGGGGGCAGCTAGACCCGCACCGGAGTTGATGCTACGACTGATGGATCCGGTGAGTGCAGCGTCTGTAATGGATGTGACTGTAGCGGGAGTGACCGTGGCATCTGTTGATTCACTCGCGGGTGTCGCTGTATCGGGGTCTGAGAACCTCCGTTCGCCCATCAGGTCAGCATACGTTGTCAACCGCCTGGCTCCGTTCCTATATCGAGGGCTTTCTGAGGAAAAACTTTTATGCGCGAATTCTCCTGCACTCGCGAAAGCATTCGCGATACGTAACAACAAAAATTGCGATACGAGGAGCAACTGAACGAACCGATGGCCCGGATTTGCTCCGTGTGGTCTGGCCATTGTAATATGTGGTTTCACCTGTAAACTTGTGGCCTATGGAATGTAACCGCTTGCAACGCCTCCCAATTCGTGACGAGTCATGGCAATCGCAGACTCTGACGCCTCATGGACACGGAGCACGGGGAGCACAGGGAGCACAGGGCGATGGTCCCTGGAAGAACGAGTCATCGAGCCGCGAAGATAGACGACTCCATTCTATGACGAGGAGACTGTAAGCCCGACCTCTAAGCGTGCACCATCGAGTTTCACACAAAAAAGCTAATGGAAATAGTTATCTCCGCAATCCGAGTGTTATGAATGAACAAGCTGAGTAGTGCGGAAATGAATAACGAAAATGTTCACTCACCAAATGACGATACAAGGAATGGCAAGCCAAGATATAGGAACACCAGAGCTAGTCTAACCATGCGATGGGAAGGTTCGGGAAAGAGATCGAAGGGCCGCGAAGTGACGAGCGAGGCCCGGAGAACCCCCGAATGTCGAACTAGAAGGTCTGGAGAAGCCGAGGCGGTTCTGTCAGCAAAGTCTGGAACAGTCCCGAGGCTTCGAGTGTGTTCGAGCGTACGCGATAGCAGTACCGCTCGGTAAGGAATGGAAAATTCCTTACACCACCCCCCCCCTTAGCGAAGGTGATCTATATCAGCCACGTGCTTGCGGTCCAAATAATTCGCAAGTATCGAAGGTGACTGTATCTAGTCCGAGGGCACCCACGTGTCGTCCTCACTAGTACGATTGGTCCATCGTATCAGAAAGTCAACGTGTCGTCCTTGACCGTCGATACGAATCCGATGGCTCAAGATTTTCGAAGGCTCGATGGTCGTCTCGGCTGGTGGCCGTACATCTGGAACCAATCGATGTCGGGCGATGTCCGACGTGTCAGGAACGAAGGGTCGCAACAGACTCACGTGGAATTTGTTGTGAATACGCCAGTCATCAGGTAGGCGCAACTGGGCGGTCACCGGCGTCACCATCTTCATGATCTTGAATGGGCCACAGAAATGTGGTCATAATTTCGTCGGTAGTGGGAGTCGTAAATTCTTGGTGTCCAAAATGACTAGTTGCCCTGTTGTCATTGTAATATCCCGTCGATGTAAATCCGCATACCGTCGGGCATAAGCGTTCGCCTTGCGAATAAGTTCGACAGCTTTATCTCGGGCAGTCTGTAATTCTTCGACGAACTGCTGCGATCGTGGTACTTGACTCTCAACGTTGGTGGAGACTGGTACTGTAGTGTCCATCCCGTAATTGAGATAAAACGGGGAGTGATTAGTCGTAGCCGAGGGCGCGTTGTTGTAGGAAAATTCCAACATGGGCAGCACGTCCTCCCATTTTTTTCGGTCGGGGCAGTTTGTCCGAATCAGCTGCTCCATCGTTTGATTCGTTCTTTCCGTCTAGCCGTCCGTTTGGGGATGATACGCGGATGAGAACTGTAGACGCGTGCCGTACCGAGCCCACGTGTCCTGCCAGAATTTTGACGTGAACTTCGGATCTCGATCGCTAATGATTGCTGCTGGTATCCCGTGTAGGCGAACAATGGTCGAGATGAACAGGCGCGCTGTTTCTTCGGCTGTGATGGTTGTACGACATGGTGCGAAATGCGCCATTTTCGTCAATCGGTCGACGACAACCAAAACCGCGTCGTTTCCGCTGGGTCCGACCGGTAGTCCTGTAACGAAATCCATCGTTATGTGTTGCCATGGACGTTGAGGTGGCTCGAGGGGCTGCAATAGTCCTGTTGGTCGCTGGTGTGATGACTTCATTCGCTGGCAGATCGGACACGCGGCCACGTAACGCTGCACGTCCGTCACCATATCTGGCCAGTAATAAAACCGCTGCAACGCCTTCAGAGTTTTATCAACCCCGAAATGTCCCGATAAATTCCCACCCGTGGGTAAATATTCCACTGAGTAGCGGGTTGCTCTGGGCGACTAGTACTGCTGCGAGTTGGGCAGATGGTCTGGAGAGGGCGTCAGCGATATTGTTGGTGCCTTTTTTGTACGTAATATTGTACGTGAAATTGGACTCCAAGTAGTCCAGCCAGCGTATCTGTCGCGGGTTGAGATTCGGTTGCGCTCTCAGGTACTGTAGTGATTTGTGATCGGTTCGCACCGTCACGTCTGCTCCAGTCAGGTAGCACCTCCAGATTTTGAACGCGTGGACGATCGCCGGCATCTCCTTGTCGTGTACTGGGTAGTTGCGCTCAGCAGATTGCATTTTCCAAGACTTGTACGCAATTGGTTGAAGCCCATTGCCGAAATCCTGCATTAGCACTGCTCCGATGGCGATGTCACTTGCGTCGGTGATGACTTCGAAGGGCCGTTCCGGGTCAGCGATGCGAAGTACCGGTGGCGACATTGAAAGATTTTTTAATGCCTCGAACGCAGCCTACTGCTTCTCCCCCCACTCGTAAAAAGTCCCCTTCTACAGTAGGTCGGTTAGAGGTCCAGTTAACCCCGCCACGTTGGGTATAAATCGCCGCACGTAATTCACGAAACCCAAAAAGGATTGCAGCTGCTGCAGATTGGTTGGTGGTTTCCATTCCTGAATAGCCCGGAGTTTTTTCGGGTCTATCCGGATCCCCTCCGTGGAGATCACATGCCCCAGGAACTCCAGTTCTTGTTTAAAAAACTCGCACTTGGAGCCCTTGGTGATGAGACGGTGCTGCTGCAACCGCTGAAAAACCGCTTCCAAATCCTTCAAATGTTGCTCTCGGGTCTTGCTGTAAATCAGGATGTCGTCCAGGTAAATTATCACGCATTTGTCGAGTAGATTGCGGAACACCCCATTCATGGTGAGTTGAAACGTCGAGGGGGCGTTCGTTAATCCAAACGGCATCACCGTGTATTCGTAACTCCCGTAGCGAATACGAAACGCGGTCTTGTGGCAGTCGTCAGCGAACACCCGAATTTGATGGTAACCGCCGCGAAGGTCAATCTTCGAAAATAGCGAGCTCCGCGAAGGTTGTCGGTCAGTTCGTCCGTGCACGGTATTGGATAGCGCGATTTTATCGTTACCCGATTAAGGGCGCGATAGTCCGTACACATGCGAAGTCCGCCGTCCTTTTTTGGCGTGAACAGGATTGGTGCTGCGAATGGTGACGTGCTCGGCCGAATGAACCCTTTCGCCAGCAGGTAGTCCAGCTGGTTTCGTAACTCCTGTAGCTCCGGCTGAGTCTGGCGCCACTGCGTGCGTACAGTAGGCTGCGCGCCGGGCTCCAGCTCGATTTTGTGGTCATGGGGTAGTTCGGGTGGCAGTCCACTTGGCAAATCGTCCAGGAAAATCTCAGGATATTCCCGAATGATTTTCGCCACGTCATCCGGGACCGAAGTGCAGAGTTTGTTGATGTCGGTCACCTCATTTTGCTCCGTCGATTCGGTTAGATGGACGGCGTATAAATCCGCTCCATTCTTGACCGCTCGGTTGAGGCACACCGCGTTGATTCGTGTCGATGTTGTCTCTGCTTCCGGCCACGTGGGTAATTTTCGCCAGCCTTTGTCGCACTTCATTGTGCACTTGCCTGTTGTCCAATCGATCTGCGGGTTGAATCGTCGCAACCAATCGCGTCCCAATAGCACGTCATAGCCGTCAAGCGTTGTCGCCAGCATTGGCGCGCTGAAACCAAAATCTTCGCCACACTTCATTCGGACGACAGGTACTTTGTCGCGTATCGCCAGCGGGGTGCCGTCCACCAATCGTGCATCAATTTCGGGCAGACACCTCTCCAGCGTCAGGTGTAGTCGTCGTGCTGTCTCTCGATTTATCAGGCTGTGACTCGCACCGCCGTCGATGAATATTTTTATTTTTCTTCCGTTGAGTCGTCCCTCCGCCAGTACAGGGTGGTCCACTGGGTCATCCCCCTTATTCAGCCGGGAGCGGTTGATAGCATGTATCGGAACCACTACCCGGTGGGGATGGTGTTTTTCGGGCGATGAGGCAGGGTCAGTAGGGGGTCCGACCTCTACTGACGCTTGGCGTTTACCGACCTGCCTTCGTCGTCCTTCTTTATCTGCTTCTTTCGGGGGCAATCGTGAGATTGGTGACCCGGCTGGTGGCAATTGAAACATTGTCCCTTGGGAAAATCTTCCATGTGCTCCTTCGCCACTACGCCGTGAATCGTGGGCCGTGGATTCTGGCCACGAAAACGATTTCCCTCCCAGGAACCCGCTCTCGCATACGTCCGATGTGCGTCGAAAGTATCTGCGATCCGGACTGCTTCGTGAAACGTCGCCGGAAGTCGCAGCCGGACCTCGCATTTTATGTCCTGCTTAAGACCCGAAATGAATCGAGCTTTCTTCTCGGAGTCATGCATGTCGGTGATTTGATCGCATAACGCCATGAAGACCGACGCGTAATACTGGACAGAACTCCACTGGCGCCAGTTGTCCAGCTTCGTGCGTGCGTTGTCCGAGGCGGATATTGGCTCGAACCGTTCACGCAGAGCTGTACCCCACGCTTTCCACGTGCGAATCTTGGTCGATCCAAAAATCGCGGTTGACCCTTGGGCAGCAGACCCAAAGTTTCCGAAAAACCCCTGTGTGTCGCCTGCCGAAAACTCCCCCTCCTGTAGAGTATATCGCCACCAATCGAGCGCAGGTCCCTGCAGTAGTGATACAGCCAATCAAATTTTTAAATCGTCAGCAGTGATCCCAGCGGCATTAAAATAAAGTTCCACCGAAAATAACCAGCCCGTAACAGTAGTATTCTTATCTGTGGGGTTGAACGGGGGCGGCATTGTCGGTTTGATAGTCGCTGTCGTCACGATCGGCATAAATGCCGGTGCGGCTACAATAGGGGCTGCTTCTGACCGAGCGGCTGCTGCTGTCGCTGCTGCTGCTGCTGCTGCTTCGGCTGTTGCTCGTGCTGCCACGTCAGCTGCTGCGGCGGCTTCACTGTCCTTGCACTCCTATGACACCTCACGTGCGATTTCGTCCAAGACGGTTTCGACACGTCCGGTTCTGGCGACCTCTTCTTGGGCAGCAGATTTCTGACGCGAATCCTCTCGCGCCTGGCGTAACTCAGCAACTTTCGCACGAAGTCGCTCGTTGTCCTCCAGCACTGTAGCCATGCGTGTGTTCATAGCGTTGAACTGCTCCCGAAGCTCGTTGAACTGAGCTTGGTCCATTTGGCGAATGCTCCGCCGGGGCAGGGGGAAATCCGTAATGTGCCTGTACTCAGGTAAGCGCAGTCGCTATCGTAGTTGGGCGAATTAATCAGTCTAATTCGCGAGCAACCACTTTGCAGCTTACGTGAG